TTATCGTAATCTTTTGTATCTTTTACAATGGCGTCCTTAATAATCATCGGTTCGATACGACGGTTGACGATGAATTACCCTTTGTTATCTCTGTTCAAACACATTAAACATCGCGTTTCGATATAGCCAAATCCATAGGAATACTCCAAAATCGTAATTCGAAATTTCGATCGATATTTAGAACGATGTTGTCTTCGTTTCAGTTTCAATTTATATTTCTATTTTGATTAAATTTGATGAAAAAGTAATATGCGAAAAAAAACAATCGGATATAAATATTAATATTTTATTCTTATCTCAGACAATTGTTGAAATTAAATGCGAAGAATGTTTGAACGAGCAACGTATTCGACGTATAAAATAATTTTCCATCTATTCTCCAGCGTAAATTAATTTATTTATATATCCCGGGCGAAGGGAATATTATTGAAACGTATCACGACGAAAACGAAGAAATCTCTCATTTTTCTCGCTTCCTTTTCCTCCCGCGTTCGCAAACTTTTACTTTCATCCAGACTTCTTTCAAATGCATCTGCATTTAACGGGAACGCGAGTTATTCCTCTGGTAGAAATGAGAACGTTAGCCCGTAGAGATAATTAATTCATAGCCACCGAGTCGAGTGACGCTTGAAAATGGAAGGGAGTTAAAGTGTGAGCGAGAAGGAGGTGGACTTATCAGTTTCAGTGCCGGCTATTGATATGCCCGGAAATCCCCTTGACAGTTTTCTGAGTTGAACTAAAGGCTATGAACATGGACGACCGAGAAAAGTCAACTGACAATAACATTACATGACTTGCGTCAGTTCTCTGTAGTATTTTAATTAAAAAAAAAAAAAAGGGGGGAAATCAACGAATTTTTATTTAATGCACAATTTTCTTTCGCGATTATTTACATTGGTCACTTTCTACCGTTTTAATACAATTGAATGATCTTTTAAATGTTAATATCCAACGACCTCCTCTTTTTTCCTTTCTTTTTTCTTACCTTTGTTTTTTTTTTTATTATTTCTCTCGTTTCTATCATATTTTTGAACACGAGCTTTTTCTCAATGTTGAATTAATATCTTACGTGCACACTTGTTTATGGATTAAGTAATTGCACGTTGCACGATCTTTTCGATTAATCAGAATTTCGATTGTTTCTTTACTTTTTGTTCTATTGTCGAGCTTGTGATATATATATAGATCTGAATTGAGCAAGTTTAGAAGATCTATTTACAAAATAAAACGAAATGCATGTTTCCTGATAAGAATCCCACTTCCTAGAGACGATCATCCTACTTGTGCTCAAAGATGAAACAACTATTTTTTTTATTATATCGATACATGATTTAATAATTTCATGGCACAAAACAGAGTCTTCCTTTACGAATGATTGAACAGAGAGCATCGATCTTTGTTCGACTATTGTAGGACAATACCGACATCGCAAAACAGATGTAATCGATTAATTTTAATATAATAAACATTTTCAAGCTCTTCAAATCAAACTGATCACATGCGCATAGATTGAATCAATTTGTGAATTAATTGAACCATTGATTTTTCGAAATGATTCACTCGTAATAAATTGATTGGATTAACAGTCAGATCAACAAAAAATAGTACGATACGTATCGTAAAATTTCAACAACTTAAACGTATAATCAATTTTTTGGTTCGTTTAAGGCAATAATTTACTCGTATAATGAATTTTAAGGCATTATATATTTTTCAAAGTTCTTTAACCGAATGAATTAGTAAAAGAAATGCGATGTTTATATTTACAATTTAAGTACGAATGAAAATTATTAAACGATATTTTAAAGAAAAGTTGAAAAGTGACAAGTGATTCTGTTTTTAAAATTTTGAGACAAAAAAAAAAGAACGTTCTTTGGTGAACGAGTCAGATTGTTGATACAAGATTAATATTTCACACACGCAAACACGACAACACATACACTTATATCACTATTATCACCTACACACGCACAGTATATCTGCTATGTTAGATGATTGAAAATGAAGAAAGACTATCGCATAAACGGTTGGCGTCGCATCGATCATTTGTGCATCTTGTTGTTGTTTATCCTAGCATTGTCCAACGAGAATAACCGTTCTATAAACGGAACCGTGAATCGGTTTTACAACGAAAATAACGGAATGTAACGGATACACGCACGAGGATCTGCCTTCTCTCTTTCTCTCTCTCTCTCTCT